GAGAGACGATAAGTGGCGAATTCCTTTTCGTCCTCAGGAATACGGACGTCCAGGGAGATACGAGGGTGGACGAGGGACAACCGGGGAGCAGAGGGACCAGCACGCTGAGTATCTTCACCTTCCACATCACCATCATTGAAGGCAACCTCCTTCTCTTTAGATTTCCCTTTTGATTTCTTTAAAGAAGACTTCGGTGTCTTCTGGGGAGCAGAGGGAGGGGTGACGGGAGGGGCCGCCGAAGTGGCCGGAGGAACAGAAGGACGCCGACTTCGGGTGCTGTGAGCCGGAGGAGAAGCTACCACTGGAGAGGACGGACGTGGCGCCGAAGGACGAGAGGCCGAAGAACGAGAGGCCGAAGGACGGGAGACCGAAGGAGCAGAGGCCGAAGGACGGCGAGAAGACGAAGGAGGAACAGCCGGGAGACGTGATGGGCCGGCCACAGGAGCGAAGGGCGACGGCGACGGAGGCGACGGGCGGAGGTCCGGCGAAGTACGGCGAACCGACCGGAGAGACGAAGGAGGTACCCGCGAGCGGGGGACAGACGCTGGAGTCTGAGGAGGGGGGAAGGGAGAAGCGTCGAAGGGACGGGGCGGGATGTCCCGGGCAGAGGAAACGGGACAGAAGGAGCAGGGGCCAGACGTGCATGAAGCACAACGGAGGGCCTTGTTGTGTGGCCTGACTGCCTTGAGGCAGGGCCAGTTTGGACGATTATACGTGATAATCTCACGTCTACTAATTAGCAGGAGTAACTTCGGCGTAGTACGAATAGGTGGACTCACCGGCAACGATCACACGCTTCGTCAACACCAACCGCGATCCAACGACCAGGCTCGGACTTCATCTTCTCCCACAAGTACTCTTCTTCCCGCAGTGATCTCTTCACCCGTTTGGGCGAAGGCTCCCCTCTGGGAGAAGGGGGGGGAGCAGCGACGGGGGCGGCGGGAGCAGGACCGGCGGCGGGAGCAGGACCGGCGGCGGCAGCAGGAGCGATGGCGGCGGCAGGGCGGGCGGCGGCAGCAGCGGCAGCAGCGGCGGCAGCGGCGATGGCGTTGGGGGGGGGGAGAACCCCGGAAGAGGAAGAAGAAGAGGAAGAAGAAGAAGAGGAAGAAGAAGAAGAGGAGAGGGAACGGCGTCGTTTCTGGCCCACAATTTGAGCAGGGGGAGGGGCAGGAGCGGCTGCGAGTTAGCAATGTCTTGGAGAGCTAAAGAACAGATAAACAAGGCCAAGTTCGGCGAAGGTGTGAGAGGTTGGACGAAGAACTCACGCTCAGGACTATCTACGTTGTTGTCCTCTACACTAACCGCCACCATATCATCATCCGAGTGTTCCTCTAACTCGGTTTCACCCTCCGACACGATTCTATCATCCTCATCACTATAATCACCCCCTTTTCCTTCGAAGTCTGACTGATCGTCCGACTCCGAACCACTGAGCGACTCCTGGTCGGAGGAGGACGGAGACTCACCAGGACGAAAGGCGGGCGTCCTGCGGCGAGGGCTGGCGGCAGGAGGGGAAGCAGAGCGAGAACCAGGAGGAGGAGAAGCAGAGGGAGAACCAGCGGGAGGACCGGCGGGAGGAGAAGCGGAGCGAGGAGGCGGGACATCGCCAGACGGCTCCCCCAAAGAAAGGGTGCCGAGGCCGAGGGAGGAGACTTGGCGAGATCTGTCGCCGAAGGAAACTGAACATCAGCCAAGTCCGGCGAAGTAAGGTAAGTGTCGAGGAATAACTCACGAGCAGACGACACCATACCACCAAAGTTCCTCATGGCGGCGAAAGGGTTAGATGTAGGAGTAGAAGGGGCCATGACGTTAAGATATTTAAATGAGAATAAAACTCGAGGCGATGATTCAAGGTAACAAATCTGTTTTCTAGGTAAGAGAGATAGAAAGTTTTGAAAGCAGATGGGAAAAAGAGAGAAGGTCGACGAACTGCTCAGTATTTAGTATAATCAAACCTAACCCCTCGTCGTCAACATGCAGCAAACTTCGCGTTTCATCAACAAAAGGCATCGCAGGGACGATCAAAATTCCCACGCTATAGTGTCTCATCTCAATATAAGCGAGGGTTACTTCGACAAACAACGGTGTTGTTCGGCTGCCATTCAGGAAGCGTGTCTCACCTACAAAAGACACAGGGCTTCTTACGGCAAACCTCGACGAAGTTAGGGGAGTCTCATTGTCGGGTTCTGGAGTGAAAGGAGGCCCAACTACGAAGTGCGGCGCAAAGAGCAGAAGAGTGGAGGATGGTCATGGGGAGGGAGAGAATGGGGTACTACGCTGCTAAGTTCTCTTGCCACGACAGAGGTGTAATCGCTCACGAGGACGTTCGCGGCTAAAGAAGGGGGCGACTGTCACGAACTACGTCGTGACACCTCGATTACTCCACCAACAATGACCCTCCTTTGGCCATCAAAACCCCATCACGCCTTAACCTCTTTACTCTACACGTAACTCAGGACTTCTGAGACCAAGTACGGCGAAGTTAGACGGGGTTAGGCTAAGTAGGGACAATGGGAGCAGAAGTACGGCGATGTTAGGCGGGGTTAGGCTAAGTAGGGACAATGGGAGCAGAAGTGCGGCGATGTTAGGCGGAGTTAGGCTAAGTAGGGACAATGGGAGCAGAAGTGCGGCGATGTTAGGCGGAGTTAGTCGAAGGAGGAAGAGGATGGCCGAGGGCTCGGGGAAGTTGGACGAAGTGCGTTGAAGTACGTCAAAGCGCGAGAGGGTTGGATGAACGTCTAGGAGGAGTAGATAATATTAGCTGAGAAGATCGCTGAAGTTCTTCAGCGATCCTTGATTGTTGTCAGTAGTAAAAGACAGATAGAGATAGCTATAAATCAAGATACATCGCCATCAGTAGATCAAAACCCTAGTTAGAGTAACTACGCCGAAGTACGCCGTAGTTACACCCCTTTCGACGTCTGCGCCCTCCTGGTTGGGTGAGACATCGACTCAGAGAGTGAAGTTAGCCGAGGTTCGTCGACCGTCGGTCTATTAAGAAGTAGTTACTCACTCACTCACACCCCTCACTTATACACACATTTCTTCGCCTCTACTACCTCCAATCTCATAAACATGCCCCCCAACGCCGAGAAACCTAAACATCCCCCCTATCAGAGCGGTAAAGACAGATCTACCGTCAAACCTCCCCGCGATGCCAAGCTGTCATCTGAACATTTGAAATTTGCCAAATATCACCAGGCGAAAGACAAAATCTGGAAAGATGACAACTCTCTTCGCTCACTCCAAGCCACTCTTCAACAGAATATACAGCCATGGTGGCATGCCGAACCACACTGTCTGCCCCAAGTTGCGAAGAAGACCGGGCTTATACTAGCCACACCAAAACAATTGATTGAAGTTGGTGTAAAGGCTCCGTCTACTCGTGGACCCCTGTGTTGGGGAGCAGACAAGAAGAAGGGTACAGGAATGGGTTGCCATGTGGGAAATGTGCTGTCAGCCTTCCACTACTAGTGAGTGCCACTTGCCATGCTCTCCATTTCGTGCTTTTCGTCTCTCAACGCTTTCATTTGGCTGCTGTTCGGGCTTCAAGGGTCTCAATTTCCTCCTTTTCGGACCTCACCTCTCACTTTCCTGCTGTTCGGGCTTTCAGAGTGTCCATTTCCTGCTTTTCGGACTCTTGTGACATTCAAGCAACAGCTGACGTCAGTCATCCTCAAATTCGTTGCTCGAACAATCCTCCCGATGAAATCACACTCCTCGCGAAATTCAAAGAAGATGGACAACTCCATTCATGTGTACAATGTTTCTCAAACACCGCTCCGGGTCACAAGTGTACTATTCAAGGTGTCAATCTGTCCTCCCTCAAACCTCCTGAAGATCTCACCACAACTCAGGAAACCCCCGATGATGAAAGCGAGGAAGAAAGCGAACAGTCCGAAGTGGAGATAGTCGATTTGGCCACTCAGGGCCGAAAAACAAAACCGGCAGCCGCTGTGTCTCAAGCCGAAAAGGTCAAGGCTCGAAAATCAAAAGCGAAATCACCCTCTCCCCCTTCTGCCTCTTCGCGGAGTCCCACGCCTGCCAAATCCCCAATCAAACCTCCTGCGAAGCCCCTCGGTGCTGTTGGTTTCGGGGCCGTGCCCCTTCAAATTCCTCAAACACGAACAGCCATGGCAAAAGCATCAGCAAAGGCTTCCAAAGCTGCTCCTAAGCCCGTTGAAACACCTGTTCGCTCTCAAAATGTCGGCCCGAAATGGGTCACAGATACGCCGTCAAAGAAAAGTCGAAAGCGTCAGCATCGCGAAGAAGACGCTGAGTCTCCAACGGCTTCAAGAACAGTGAGACCGGCGAAACGTCCGACTGTTTCGGGGAAACCTGCGGGTCGCCAAAGCGAAACGGAGGTCAGCTCGTCGGATGTCGTTTATGCTGGAGAAGGTAGTCACGGTGTCGGTGTTTCGGTGGACGTGCCCATCGAAATTGATCCAGATTCGCCTCCCCAAAATCCCGAAGTAGACCTGATTCATGAGAGCGAACCACCCGAAAAGGACGCACATCACCCATCTCCTCCTGCCTCTTCTTCTCCTGCCCCTGCAGCCAAACGTCCCCAGCTTCGTTTCCCTGCCCGTTTCCCCGAAATGCCTTTTCCTACTGCTTCTCAAGAGTCTCCCAATTCGGCTCCTGTTGTTCCTCCTGCGAAGTCCCCGACAAGTGCTCAGCCAACGATTTCTGTCATACCGACAAAACGACCACGAAGTCCCGAACCTGTGGAAGAACAAACTAGCCTCCCTCTCGTCACGCCTGTTAGCGCTGCAGGAATTCGCGAGAGCGAAATTACCACTCCGGCCAACCCGGTTCCGGGTGTTCGCCAGTCTGAAGTTTCTTCTCTCCATCCGCCCCAAATGTCAAAGTCAATCTCGGCCCAAATCTCTAGCAAGTCTGCCGAACTCCCCAATCGTTCGGCCACTCCATTTACTCCCAGTCCCCTGCCCGAAAAGCGTCCAATGGCTTTGACCGAAGTGGCTGCAATTCGTCCTGCAGAAGTATCTCAAACTGCCCCTCCCGCCGCGGAAGTCATGCCCCCTCGCGAAGTGCTCAATCCTACTCCGCCGAACTCGTCCGTACCTGCTGGTTCTGCTGTTCGCCGGCAAACTGCTCAAAGTCCGACCCCTGTGGAGGAAGAAGATCCCGAAGAGTGGCTTCGGGCCCTAAGTCGACCTAATCCCCCTGTCAAGACTTCGGCGCCTCGTTATCCAAAGGAGCGCGATGGCAGCCCCAAAAACCGCCAGAATCAGTCAAACCTTCCGTCGGGGGCTCCTAGACGTCACATTATTCCCGAAGTGCCGCCCATCCAGCCAGGTCAAGGGTCCGAAACGTCACCAAGTCTTTCCCAAAAGCCACCTTCGCAAAGATACAGTTCGCAAGACCTGTTTGTGGAGCCCATTGTCCCAAATCTTTCCGGCGCTGTCCCACAAGCCCCCACATCATATATAAAACATCCTCCTGCCCAACTTCGTGACGTTCAAGGGTGTTTTGAGTTGATTCAACGGTTCGCTAATTCCGAAGAGGAGTTGACTTCCCGATTCGAGACCATTTTGAAAGAGCACATGGGGACCATGATGAGTTACTACAAAGATGTCACTACGGACCGACGAAAGGCATTGACGAGAGGCCTGGCAAATGCCATTTCGGGAGTCTCGAATATGGAGAGTCAGTATCATGCTACGCTTGACAGCCATGAGGCATTGGTTCGCGAACGAGACGATGCGATCAGACAAATCGCGGATCTGGAGAGACTCCATCAGGCCGAAGTGGAGAAAAACAATCTCATTAGTAATGATGTTGAGAGGTTGACGCGGGAGAAAGATGGAGTTATTGAGAAACTACAGACCGAAGTCCGCGAAAAGTCGTCTGCACTGGAGACAATGCAACAGAGATGGGTGGCAGCGAAACGAAGTGCTGATGGGGCCACTTCGTTGGAGGTCAGGGTTCGCGAAATGGAGAAACAAATGACAGAATTGAAGGAAAAAAATGCTGAGTTGGAAGCGAAACATGATAAAGCTGTGAAGATTGTTCGGACTGCTGTGGAGCAGAAGAATTTGGCCGTTCAACAAAAGGAAACGGCTGTTCGGGAGAAGGATGAGGCTATTCGGGAGAAGGATGAGGCGGTGGTGATGGCAAATCGTGCGAACGAGGATAGGTTGGAAATGAAGAACACTGTCTGGGAGTGCAAGAACTACATTAGTGAGTTACAGAGTGACATGGCTGATCAGGTGGACCAATACAACCTGATGTTGCGCGATCCTCACACCGGGACATATACACATCGCCTTCGTCTGGCTGGAAGGAATCGTCTTTGGTCTCTTTCTCCCGAGTACTCACCTATGATGTTCGATCCCTCCAAACCAGTAACCAATACGGAGTTAGAGGAAGGCGCGAAGAAGTATCCAATCCCATCACCATCCTGAATGTAGCAAAGTGAGTCTTTTGGGAATCTGAGTTCGTTAGAGTATTTCGTGGTCAGTCAGGTTGTAGCCATAGCATGTATACTTGTGTCAGTCTATCCTTGGACATTCAGACAATCATTGAGATGGAGGTGCATTCACTAGGCTTCGTCAATTATGTCCCGAAACGGTCTTACTTCCTCCTTGAGCTTGTTTCGGGTGTCCGAATTGAAATAAACGTCATTGGAGGTATCTGCTAGAGCCATGGCCAGTGTGAGCTGACATATACTAGTTCGCAATCCCAAAGCATCACTTGCTGACAAGGTCGAACCCTGAAGACCCAAGGCAGCAGCTGAGGGCAGTAGACCTTGAAGCAGCAGACAACAGCCTGCCACTGCCAGGGGGCCACAGCTACTTGGATCAGTTTGAACCACCCACTGCAAGAGATCCCTAGTGTCCTGGGTCATCAGCTTTGACATGGCTGGGGTTGAAAGGTCCAGCAGGTACTCACTGTATTGTTAGGCGCCACTATCCAATCCCTACTTTCTTCTTCGGTTGCGAAATGGTGCTTGACTTCCCACGAAAGACGTGAAGCCAATAACGTGGGCCAGTTCTGCTGGTCAGGATTGATCTTTGGCCAACATGGCATTGATACATACCTTCTTGAAGGCAAGCGTATCGTGTTTCCCGGCCGTCCCGTCGAGCATCACAACTAATTTCTGTGGGCCAAAAATCACAACTACCCCGAAGTGAGCATCTTCTTGGATCATGACCACAGATACGGTGACTTGTTTTCTCCAGCTCCCGTCCTTGCCTAAAGATGGCCATGGGCACTGGCCAGAATCTCCACCAAGCCACTGAGTTCCAGGATTGAGCACACGGAACTGAACCGAAGGTCCATTGCTTGTAGTATTTTCTCGAGATGCCCTTGACCTACTCACTAGCCTGTTGATTGCCGAAACGATATCCTGTATCCCGAACCTGGAGTACCACCCATCGGGGCTACTAAGCCACTTTTGGAAGTCCACAGCATTGATGTCCGTTCGGATGTCCTCAAGATACAAGCTTGGTCTTTGGGACTTCGGCTCTTTTTTAGCAGCATCATGCCATAATGCCATGCAAATCGAGTTGATTGCTTCAACATTGACCCTGGTGATACCACCGAATGGTTTGACGGACACCAGCGCCCGGGTTGTTTCGGGAGGACCCAAGAGTACTTTCTGCAGGCGATCGGCGACTTCGCTTCGTGTGATCGCTAAGCGGCATCGAGGTTGCAACGGAACAGTGAGCTCGAGGTCAAGAGTCAAACTGGTAGCCGTATTGGAAAGCGTACTGGAGGAACGGTCGTGAGACCCTTTTGAAGGGATGCTAGGTTGACTTGAAGGGATATCAGACTTGATCATTTCAGTGGGATTCTTTGCTATTGCACTTCGGGTTGGCCCACCGTCAGGACGTGGTGTATGTGGAGTCGCAGACGACTGGTTTTCGGACAAAGATAGGTGTTCGCGCTGATAGAAAAGCATGACAGGAAATCGAGTAGATTCAAAGGCCGCATTGCAGAAGTTGAGTCGAGTAACCTTTTCGTCGTCAATATCCCACCAGTAGCCTCCTTTTTGTATCAAAGCCACATAGTGACCGGTGTCACGGGCAAGAAGAGCACCTTTTCGGCATATCATTCCACCCAATTTGAAAGTGAATGGCTGTTCGCTTGGGGAGGACGGCGAAATGCCCGATAAGACGCGAGGATTAAGCTCCTCTTCGATCGAAAAACGACTGATAGACGGACCCACAGATGCTGATGCGTCGCGGAGATCCCACACCACATTGAGGACAAGGACTTCAGTGGTGAAGTCTTCGTCTTTTGATAATGTCGCCCGCGCTCGAGTGGGAGCGAGTTGACCACAAGTAGAACAAGGTCGGGGCAGTAACTGACGCCAGAAAGCGTGTTCAATCATCTGAGACATGGTGACAGGCACAGGACTAGGAACGGTGTTGAATCGAGCTGGGTGGATGTGAAGAACCTGCATATAATGTTCAAGTGTTGGGTCACTTTTGGGTGCAGGGTGTACATGGTGGCAAACGTGGGTGACATATTCCCAAGACACTGGTAGGCGAAATGCTTTCTCAAAGGCCGAATTGGCAACCCACTGACGGATCTGGACACTGATTCTTTCGAAGAGCTCGCAAGGATCATGTTGAGCTTGCTCGTCAATGAATCCTTCGCCTAATATTAGCTACGGTGGGACAAAAGCGACAATAGTGAGGATTACTTACGTCGCAAGACATCCACCATCGTTGGAATGTCAACGACCGTGTGAGATGTTGAGATACAATGGTGAAAGTTCTCCAAAATTTGAGTCAGACCAGGCAAATGGTGACGAAGTGGTTGCTTGATGGCGTCAAGCCCTTCGGCGAAGGTTGGAAGACGCAGAAGGACATGGAACAACGCCTGTGCGAAACAGGACTGTTGGTGGTTCACTGCACCGACAGGCCTTTGTTGCGAGGGCAACTTTTCGGGACGGAATGCAATATGACTCTTTGGGGGCTTCCGACTTCTTCCAGGATGTAAGGGACGCGTGTGTGCAGGTCTACCGCCACGATCCACTGCTCCGTGTCCATCAAGCTGACTAGAGACCTGCGGATCTTCAGGGGGCGGTTGCAGTCGAGCACGATTTCGTGTATGTCGTCTGCCGATGGGGGAGCTGAGAGGGGGCAATAACGGTCTGACCAGCGAGTCCAAGTGTTCGCTGTCGATGTTCACGGCAGTCGACTTTGTTGGTCGTTCGGTGGTGCTCCAATAGCGCTCCACAGGTTCGGTGGGATCATGTCCCCACCAGGCTATCAAGTCCTCCCTGTCAGCGTCAAGCGAAGTGTCGACGCGTTGGTGTTCACGCTTTGTGCCCGAGGATAAGGACATAGAAGAAGCAATGGTGGTGATTTCTTCGACATAGGCTTCTTGACTTCCACAATTTCGATAACAATAGAAAGCCCAGAGGGCACCGCACCGTTTGCCTCGCTGATTGAAGAACGAACACGAGCACCATTCACGTTGGCTACCGGCAATAATTCCGCAGTAGTGGACTTGTGGAGGATCGCGGCTGCCGCTGGATAGGTGGGCGTACTGAACTTTGTAAGTAGCCCGAAGTCGGACAGGCAGTTCGGGACATTGATTTGGAGGGCACAGTCTGACAGCATTGACTTGCCACAGATCCAGTCCTAGTAGAATGACTTCGCGGACTTGAGGGTCACACCGGCCGGAAGTTGGAGGAGAGTGCAGGTACATTGGGAAGTAGACATTGATGATGATGACAATGAGTCTATCAATGCGCTTATTGGCTCTGGCTTCGAGGAAAACACGATCAAATGTGCGAAAAGCCGCCTCGACGAAGTTGTTTGTGGAAAGAGTTCCATCTCTGGTGTGATTTGCTGGAAGTCCGTAGTCAACCAGGGCTGGCCTCCACCTATCGCTGAACCACCAGCTTTCAAGCCATCGCGAAATGTCCTCACATGTCTCCGTATTGTTTCGCGTCAAGGATGCGAGGTTGACCTGGAAACGTGCATATGTCTCGTCCCAGTGTTCTTCGTCATCGCATCGCTGGCAGTCACGAAGTCCCGCAAGAAATTGAGAAACCTTTTGACAGCCAGTGGGATCTCTGCCAAAGATAGACTGTCCTCGAGATCGGGCAGCTTGCATGAAGTGAAATTGACAGAGACGAACTGGTGTTCCCGGGAATACTTCTTCAACAGCATTTCGCTCTGCATCGTCGCAATCGATCATGACAAATAGAGGGGTGAATCCGTCGAAGGCGATATCGTCGGCATACATGAGCAAGGAGTCCTTATCCTCTGCCGAACTGACAATGTCCGATTTCCCACTGACAAGCGCACGGGCTTCGTTTTCGATAGCTTCGCGAACTGTTTCAAGGAAATGTGTGTATGTGTCTGTGTTTGCGTGATTTGAGACCATCACAGCAACTGATTAACGGTCAGCAGGTTGGCAGCCAGGCTTGGTCAAGACTCACCGGGAACCATGTGACCGTACTCATTGACAGTGGTCAAAAAAGTGACTGGGCACCTTATGGCGTTCTTGTTTCTCCAAGAAGAGTCCATGGCTAATCCCTGCTCTCTGGCGTGGCGGATGGCGGATTGAAGAGCGTGTTTCGGGGCGATAACGCAGAGGAATTCTTCATCTTTTGGGATGTGTTCAACGCCACCAAGTTGAAGACTACTGGGGTACTGATAGCTAGAGGCATCAGTAAAAGAATGGCGAAGCGTTCTGGATGCTGGACTCACCTGAGAAACGATTCAGGATTCGCGGCATGAACAATAGCAATTGCTGCCAATGGCAATTTATCAAGTCTCTCTCGACGAAGAGCCGTCCTGATGGCAGTGGTAAAGTCTCGATCCTTCGGCAACCGCCAGGGGCATTCTTTCTTGGCCCATGTTACATACTGATGGTATTGGCAGAAATGTTGGTCCCAACGAATTTTTAAACGTGATTCGGTGGTGCCAACCATTGTTGCAGCGTCATGAAGAAGATTTCTGACATAAGGGGAAAGACGGAGTAGGTGTAAAGGTTGGGGTTCACCATGATAGGCGATTCGGGCTCTAATCAAAGTGCAGACTGCGCGATGTATCTGTCGAGGAGTCATTCGTATCTGTTGACCGTGAGCGTGACAGGGCTATTCGGTAAAGAAACGCCAACCCACCTCGGCGAAAAAGGCACACCTTTGAGGTAAACCTTTTGATGATTGCGTTTTGAGCGGGCTTGATGCTGGTGGGGGCGAAGTCTCATCCAGGTCTTCGGAGAGCGAGGAACCCTTTCGCTCTGCTAAAACTTGTGCCAGTGTCTGCCGTGGGGCTTCTACCTGGCAGCAGTTACCACTGCATCTCCAGATGGACCTCCACACAAGCTTGTCCGGACCGTCCTCGAAGGCTTTGTCGCTGACGAAGAAATTCGCATGACGGGCTCTTATGTCGTAGGGAAAAAGAGCAGGCGGGTCGAGCCATTCAACTTCGACGTGCTTGGAGACATAATGGTTCTCCACATTGTAGTCTTGACGCTGAGTAACATCAGCCTAGAAGGGAATGCAGGGAGAAAGACCTGCCATGGTATCAAAAGCCCTAGGGATCCAGCGAAAGGGCACCTCAAATGAATCGTATCGGGGATCGTTGATGATATCCTGCTTGGGTGTGCGGGCAAAGCCACCAACTTCGCGTATGTTGTCACCTTGGCTAGCTTGAGATCGGTGTACCGAAACGTCAAGCTGAGGGATTTCGGGGCCTTCGGATGTGTAAGAATGGGAAGGAATTTCCAAGAGCTGGAGACGAAGAGCAGCTTCGCGTCGGCCTTGATCGATGCTGTGGGGTGTGACGCCAAGGTCACCAGTTGATGAGGAGCCGAATGTAGACTGTGGAGTTGCCGAAGTGTTTGATTGAATTGGACTCAAGCCAGTGGCTTGGAAAGGTGTCGAAGGCGTGGAGTTTGAAGACGAAGAATGGGAACTCTTCGAGATCGATTTACTAACTTGTTGGCTATTGTGTTCGCTGGGCTGCTTGCCCAGCTGTTCGGTATTTTGTTGGCTATTGTGTTCGCTGGGCTGCTCGCCCAGCTGTTCGGTGACTTGTTGGCTGTCGTGTTCGCTGGGCTGCTCGCCCAGCTGTTCGGTAGTTGGTTGGCTGTCGTGTTCGCTGGGCTGCTCGCCCAGCTGTTCGGTAGTTGGTTGGCTGCCGTGTTCGCTGGGCTGTTCGGTATTGTGTTGCTTATTGTGTTCGCTGGGCTGTTCGGCCCTGACGGCTGAAAGAGGTGTGCCATTGGCCAATGCGAACTGCAATGCTTCCTCTTCGGCCACAGTGGAGAGACGATCTGGGAGTTAGAAGCTTATCCACAACACATAGGACGAGATAACTAACCTGTGTGTATCTGGGCTCGTTCAGCGAACAGGTCTCCGGTTGGTACAAGTGAGGGATTTGGCCAAGTTTGAGTAGGAAGATCTGGGGTAAGTGAGCAAATCGTTTGACACAGGGGACTGTAATCTTGAAAACTCGCCTGGTACAACTTTCGAAACTCCAAAGATCGCATCTGAATCATGGCGAAATACTCTTGGAGGACGCCCAGGCCTATTGGTGATTGATCTGGCAGCATTGACAATGAGATTGTTTGCCTGCTGGCTGGTGTCAGACATATGGGCAGAAAAATGGATGAGAATGTGAGTAGAGAATGTGAGTAGAGTACAAAGGTTATAGAGACTTTGATGTTAAAAAATTCATTTTGAAGTTGTTTATGTTTGGCCTACGTGCCGGGGTGTGCCGGGGTGTGCCGGGGTGTGCCGGGGTGTGCCTGATGTTTCGGGGTGTGCCTGACGGTTCGGCGAAATAGCCCGAAGCCCGAAGTGATCATATTAAATGGGAACTAGTTCACATGGAGACAAGAAGGCTGGATGACAGGCCTGAACACATGTGTGGGAGCAGGTTAAGTGCAAAAAGCAGAGAACTGAGCATGGTTTTGAAGTGGGAGTTTTGACTCAGCAGTGGTGGTATGTGGTTGTGGAGTGATGGTATGTGGATGTGGAGTGATGGTATGTGGTTGTGGAGTGATGGTATGTGTATGTGGAGTGATGGTATGTGGAAAGGGAGTGGGGTGAAGGAAAGGTTGAGTGGCGTGTTTTGGGAAAAACCGAAAAAAAGTGAGGGGAATAATTACAGAAGTGGCCGGATTATCCCTACACGCTCGAAATGGGTGAGTGACGATCGGGGAGTGAGAGTGGATCACGTGCGTTCCTTCCCTTCCTCGCGCCTCGCATTGTCTCCGGCTGCATGCTGCATGTCACCCTGTTTTGTCTTTCAACTTTTGTACCACACTTTGATATACTGCTTCGAGATAAGGCAAACAATAAATTATGTGGTTTGAGAAGGAAGTACTCCGACTGTCGGTACCAGCCCGTCGTTTGTCTGCTCGGAACACTCGAGGAAGCTCCACGACTCGTCAATTGGATGGCCTGACCATCCGTTCCCCCAAAGACGTCAGTGGCCACGGCAGTTTCTTGTATGTTATCACATGTGCTGACAGCACTCAGCTATACAATCATCTATCAGACTACATCATCGGTCAAGATCGTGCCAAGCGTATTCTGTCCGTTGCGTACGTTCAATCTCTCGCAAAGTCCCTTTGTTCTCCGCTGACAAGTAGTGTATTCAATCACTATCACCGGATATCCTCACGTTTACCTCAAACTCTTCCTCCTCCACCGCCGCCTTTGAGATCAAATGAGTATCATGCCGATCCTGGACCATCGAAGGGTATGTGGGAGAGACCGTATGATCCTTCGCGGGCTGGGTCTGATATGGACGATGGGGTACGAAGGGATGTGACGCGTGTGACTGGTACAGGCAATGGAGCTGATCCGACTTTGACTCATGATTTGCTATCTTCTACATCTAGGGAGGGCTTATGGTGTGAGCTTAGACCTAATCTGGCTTGAGGAGCTAATCGAGCTAACAATCAGCTCGGAATGGCTATTTCAGCTCTAAACCTCCACCACCACCTATCTTGCTTGATAAAACGAGACGGCGACGGCGCGACACTCCAGACCCAATGCTAGAGACAACATCAGTTGAGAGAAAAGGAAAGAAAAAAGATATCCTCTCCGATATCTACTCAAGTCTTAACAACATTGAGGCAGATAAACTTGAGGATGGCAAGGAGGAAATTGCGATCGAGAAGAGCAACGTGCTCATGATGTCAGTCTCTTTTCACAATGAGAACATGTCGAAGCTGACTGAATAGTGGACCAACGGGGACGGGAAAGACGTTGATGGCGAGGACGTTGGCGAGAATACTAGATGTTCCATTTGCTTCCACCGATGCAACGTCTTATACTCAAGCGGGCTGTGAGTTAACCTTTATTCTCCGTTACATCTGTGCTAACGATCAGATGTTGGAGATGACGTGGAAAATTGTGTTTTGCGATTGTTGCAAGCGGCAGACTATGATGTCAATCGGACAGAGTGAGTTGTCTCCCCCTTCTCAATGACACTCTCTGATTTTCAGGATTGGCATTATACATATTGACGAAATTGATAAACTCGCTAGACGTGGTGGTGGCGAGGCGGGATCTTGGGGCGCACGGGATGTAGGAGGAGAAGGTGTTCAACAAGCCTTGCTAAGATTGTTGGAAGGCACCATTCTCACTTTGTCCGCTAAACCTCAAGCAATGGTCACTTCCGGATACACATCGACTTCCTCCTCATCAACGCCCTCTACACGGGACACACCTAACCGTGGACCCAGAGCGGACGGCTCGACATTGATCAACGCGGCGTATGAACCTCCCGGGTGGGATCCGAATAACCCAATGAACCGATCTACCACTGGTGGGAAGAAAGGTGTTCGAGAGGGATTACCTGGGTTCAGTGGTGGATCTGGATTAGGTGGAGGTCAGTTCTCCTTCTCAATAATGGAATGCAAACTGATCTCGCAGGCTCTAAAGGAGACACGTTCATGGTGGACACGTCGAATATCTTATTCATCTTATCTGGCGCGTTCGTGGGATTAGAATCTATCGTCTCTAGTCGACTAGGTAAAGGCGTAAGCTCATTCTCCGTTTGTTGATTAGTAGCTGACATTCAGTCGATGGGTTTCGGTGCCCCTCTTCCTGCCTCTCCCGCAACTCCGCGCTCTACCGTAGCTATGAAAGGCTTAGCAACGACCGATTTGGCAACATATGGTTTAATACCTGAATTCTTAGGACGTCTACCCGTCCTCTCCACTCTTCACCCGCTCAGCGTCGCGGATATGGTCAGAATATTGGTGGAACCTCGGAACGCTTTAATCAAGCAGTATATAGCAATGTTTGAGAAATACGGGTCGGAATTGCGATTCACTCAAAACGCCTTGGAGATCATAGCGAAGGAAGGATTGGAACGAGGTGGTGGAGCGAGAGGGTTGAGAGGTGTGTTAGAGGAAATATTAGTTGATGCGATGTTCGAAGTGCCAGGATCGGTGAGCCCAGCTCTGGTCATGTTTCCAGTCTCTCAAATCGGTCTGACTTTGAGCTGATTGAATGTAGTCTGTACGTTATTGTCTCATCACCGGAGCTGTAGCTAGAAGAGAAGAGCCGGCACTTTACTTTTCCAGAGGTCAGAAACATTTGTTTTCACAAGCTGCGGAACAAGATGATAAACCCATCGTATCTTCTGTGACACGCATTGGTGAGGATGACGATGAAGTGGAAGAGATACCCAGATTACGTGCTGTGGGTTGGATATCAATTATCTAGAAAACACTTTGTATTCTTATGTATTGCCTTATCTTGACCCCTTGGCTGAATACTCTACAATTTCCCGTGTTGCACAACTTCCCAAGACCAATCGTTGCCATGTTAATCACTGAGTACATACTGTACGTGTAAGCTTACTCTATGAAAATTGTCAGGTAGGATAGGGAATGTCCGGGCCCGGTGGTCCGGTGACCGAGGTGATCGAAACGTTCACACCACCATGATCCATCACTTACAGGTACTCCGAGAATCATCATCGTTGTCATTATCAACCATCATCAATTCAAGTTCATAAGCAAAAGTACATCATGGTAGTGGAAAGCGGTGAGAAATGTAAGTCTTATAGTCTGTTCAGAAACGCATGCTAAGGTTGTCAGTATGTAATACACTCCCACCTGTCGAAGTGGACTATACAGCCAAAGGTCGTTGGTTGGAAGGAGATGAAGTGAGTTTCTCCTCTCCTCTCATTATCCCATCGACCCACCACTATCTTCTTTCCAATCCCCCAGACCGTGTATCCCTCTTATCTCATGCTAAAATTTCATGTTATCATTCATGTTCTGAGAGTATAGTCGAGCTATACCAACGTCTCGTGGAGCTAAAAGATATAAATAGATTGTCAGTTGATAGATAGATGTTGAACGGTTGTAAAACTTATTTCAGTAGTACTGGACCAACTACGAAAGCTATCATCTATATATATGATATTGGAGGTTTCTGTTCACAAAATTATCAAGGTGAGTTATTCTCATCTAGCATACTTTAATCTCTTCTCTCCTACATATCGATTTCTAAACGACCATCATGGATTTTTCAACTTCGAACTCTATGCTCGGAGTAGTACGGGTACTCCAGTGTCCATTCTCAAAAGTGAAGAAAAAAAGGTTAGACCTCAGTGATTGGTTTGTATTCTAAGCAAAAGATGATGGTCGTGTTCTGATAGTGTTTAATGAGGAAGGGAAGCTGAGAGAATAGGAGCGGATATCCTGGCTAATGCAGGATACGACGTTTATGTTGTTGATGTGATGAGAGGTGGGAATTTAGATTTACCAAAGTTTATGGAAATGTCATCGGAAGACAAGTAAGAATTTCTTCTATCTCTTATTTCTTATTTTTTATTTCCTACTCTTGAATCTTTTGGTCTTCTTCCCCTTCCGTTTCTCCTATCTCCTCTCCAGTGCTCTGTTTTCTCTTCCCCTCTGTTCGTCCCCAGGGCCCCCTTTCACATCATGTCTCGGCTCAGAGCGACAAAGCTACAACAAGATCCGATTAGCTGACACGTAGGATCAAAGTCCGAGAGACGTTCGATAAAGGTTCTGGTAACCTTTCCCAACATGCAGAAGAAATGCCAAGTTATATCAATCTCTTGAGGGCAAAAGGATATACTCGAGTTGGTGCTGCAGGTTTTTGTTGGTATGTTCTGAACCTCTATCATTATTCTTGTAAAACAAAATCGTCTGCATCTCGCATTCCCCCTTCTCTCAGACATCGTCCACCCTCAAAGAGCTCAGCACTGTTTCTTACCAGTTAAGTCCATAAGATATTCAAGACCACTCATTGAGCGCCTCCCCGTGTCGTGTGTGTTTTCGTGGTCGTGGTTTGGGGTGGGGGGTGGAAGTTGTTGAGGAGAATGTCCAAAAATATTATACGACTGATAAACAGGGGTGGAAACTTAGTCGTACAAGTACCTGAATTCGACGTTATCGCAATGATTCATCCTGGGTGAATAACATCTCTACCACATGACAAAAGAATGAAATAAAAGCTAAAATTACCAGTCGACAAGTTAATGCTAAAGCTGCTGAAAGATTAAATGTTCCAACTTGTTTATTACCTTCTCAAAATGATCCAGAAGAATTAGTGAGTATCATCATTTTTCCCATTCCCAAGTTTCTCATCTACTACCTAACAACTAAATCCTCTCATGATGGAGCATTAAAGCCAATTAAAAAATCATATATCTGATACAACCGTAGGGACTCGCCCATAGAAATGACAAATATGAATGAACATGATTCGTTATCAATCATAACACCACGGTATGGGTAAATGAGTATAGAGACAAGTAAGAAGGGGATGGGATTGGGAAAGAGAAGGAACGAAAAGAATGGGACAGAGTAGACTCAGAAATGAAAGTTGAACTAACTAAAAATAGATGGAAGGTTTTCACGCCGTCATGAAAACAAAACCTTTTGGTGAGAAATGTATTTTGAAATGGTACAAAGATCAAATTCATGGTTTTTGTGCTGCTAGAGGTGATGTAAGTCTTCAGAGTCTTTCTTTTTACATCTTCATCCTTTCTTTTTTCCTTTAACACCACCACCACCACCACATACATTTTGTTTCCCACTCTTATTACCTTTTGTATTTGAGAAGTGTCAGTGGCTGGACCGGGTATATGTATCTAGGACAAGAGACTGATGAATAGCTCAGTGATCTACACGTTCGAGCTGGTTTTCAAGATGTTTTCGTCACTTTGATCAAGTTTTTCAAAGACAATCTCTAGTTCATAGTTTCACGCTTTTATCTCATATCGATAGCTTTGTATATAGACAGATCATGTCTTGAGGCGATATCTCAAAATCCATAAATGTCTTAGATACAGTACCTTCAGATCTTATAGTACATTCAGATCTGATCGAAATCTACTTAGCTGTGGATGCGAGTGTTGAACGGTGCAGATCTAGACGGAAATATCAAAGAGGAAGAAAACATCAGATGTGTATGGAGTGAAATCATGAATGAATGAACAAGCATTTGCATCTTTCCTTTTTGACGCTTTTTTTTTTTCGTAAGATAGCCCCATTTGACTTGATCATTTACCAAACCCGCCTGTCGACCCGAATCCCCCAACACCTCGAGATGTCACATCTAAGTCTGTCACTTCCACAATAGGTGCGAGACATATACGTTCCAGTATAAGTTGAGCTATACGATCTCCTTGTTTGACTACATGTCAGCGTGTTTCACTGGGCGCATCTCGTGAATGCGTCGCATCCAGTTTGCTTCCACGAGTAGAGACCGTTTCTAGGGGTAAATGGTACGGCTAGATAGCATATGCTGCTGTGGGGTGACCCACGGGAGGCGAGTGACATGGGGTGGGCATGATGAAAGAGTCATAGATAACTCACTAACGAAATCTTCATTGGAATAATTGAACAATAACACCATCACCGGTCCTCTGTAATCGGCGTCTATCACTCCTGCACCTGTATCGATGGAATATTTTGAAGCTGTACATCAGTCACGTCCCTCTCGGTCCAAATGGCCGGTGTAATGGCACCTGGTGGAGAACTAGTGAGTTTCAAGTCGATAAAAAGTTCACTCACCTATTCCACTTCGTGGAGCAACCCGACCATAAGTACCCTCTGGAACCGCGATAGACAACTGCAAATCCACCAAAACTTTGCCTCTGGCAGGAATGACTTTTTCTTCCGCGGAGTATAAATCGTAACCTGCTGCTAGCGCAGATCCTCTGGTTGGGACGGTGGCTCTGTCTGACAATTTCTTGACTAGTAATGTGTCCCTAGGCTTGTATTGTCAGCATTTGTAAAAGTTTGATTCCGCAAGAAAACCCACCGGAACCACGGTATCCTCCGGAGGTGGAGGAATGACATTCACCACAGCTTCTTCGGCTGATATGGGTGTGGAGGCTACTGGTGATACATGTTTCGCCGAAGGTGGTACATCATCGTCACTATCAGGTTCGTCAGCTTGGACGATTTCGAGATCTTTCGCTCTCGTGTTCGGCTCGGCAGGAATGGACAATGAAACAGGAGACGTTTGAGAAGATTTTATTTCCTTCACGGGCTCGGCTTTGAGGGTAGGGGTGGAGAATGACGCAGGAGCCGTTTGGGATTTTTCAGGCTTGCCAAGTGGTGAAGATAAGGCTTCCGAAGATGTGGAAATCGTCCTGGTTTCGAGATCGATATACTTGGCTCTGGCGTTCTTCCCTGCGAAGTATTCGGCGGATGTCTGGGCGGGTTCGGCAGAAGGAGCGGGAGGAAAGATACTATTGATCAGTTTCACCTTTTGAAGCAGAAGACAACTTACTCCGATTGAAAATTTTCGGCTTTACGAGGGACGATCCAACTGATTGGTTCGATTTTCTCCCCAACCAATTTGAAAGATCGGGCGATCTCATTATGATTCACCTCAAGTGCTCGGCGCGGCAAAAGACACATCCCACGTTCTGTGATCAGCCACATAACGGAGTTAGACACGAACGACTCACGAGGGTCGGTCGATTTGTATTCACTCAAGAAATGGAGCGTGTCATTTTCGTACTCATAATATCGGATATTGCCGTCGCTGGGCATGTCAGTCAATTGCAACGAGCGTGGAGCTCACCCTTTTCCAGCGAGGAATAAAATGTCGTTGCCTTCCGCAAAGAAAGGCATGAGCACACCTCTATATGTGTGAGCTGTTGGCCTATCGCCATATGATAAAAGGTGCTCACGCGCTCGAGTCCAATGAAGTCATTTCAATATTGCGTATACCTGCCGTATCCCAGAGACCCATTTGTCTATCGGACATTTTGCTGAACTGTATAACCTTAGCCTTTTCATGATATTCAGAGAGCAATAATCACCCCGGTCGTTGCGATCCTGTCCCTGTCACCCAGCCAGACAACACGAGTGCCTTTCAGGCCAGAGTGGCCATCTGTCACCCGGACAGCCTCTTTGCCTGCTCGGGGATCAAATAATCGCAGCTTTTTGTCTCTGCAAGTCTGATTTGTCAGATGAAAATTTGACGTAGATGTTTGAAGCTTACCGTCGCCATTGTCGTACCGGTGGGATTCCATGCCAAGCTCTGTATGGTGTCTCCATGTCCCGAGAGTTGTATAGGAGCTTGTGCGTCGGTTTTGGAGATGTCCCATACACGAATGATGTGGTCGCCCGAAGCAGAGGCCAACACATTCGAAGAGGTGGGGTGAAAGACTACTTGTCCGACTTTGCTACAAGGTTTCAGATGCGTGGATCCATCAGTCGAAAGACTCACCGTCCACCAGCACTTAGCCTAGCCAACGGAAAAACATCTTCGGGTCGCCAATGATCTTCTCCCCATTCCTCAAAGAGCTCATCGCCGATCTTGTATACGCAGACTTGATGTAAGGCAATGTTCCAACGGTAGGCCAAGCAGACTTACTTTTACCGTCTTCCCCGCCGGAAACGACCACATTGTCATCGAATGGAGACCATGCGGTATCAAGCACTGGAGCCGTGTGACCGCGAGCTAAAGGTAGGATATCTGGTACCCTGACCGAGAATCCTACCGGAAAAGGTGGTGTGAATGGCGAGAACACGGGTAAGATCCCGAAAGCCTTTGGTATGTGAGTGATTGAGACATGTCAGACAGATAAGGACGTACGCCTCCTCCTGAGACCTGCCAGTTGATGGCGAGATACTTGCCGCCAGCCGTCACTAGGTCGGTGTCCCATGCATTACCAGATACTTTGACGTTCTCGTAGGAAAGTTTTGCTTTCTCTCCGTAGACATGACGATACTTTGACTGTGGGCTAATGTCAGCGGTATGTCCTGTTGTTTGAATGATTGATGGGAGAGGACAAAAGGGATCAATGCGGGGCCGACTCACGGCTCTGACGAAGCGGGACATGTCGAAAGGACGAAACGAGCGAGAGAAGCCGAGCCTACGGAGGGGGAGCTTGCAGTAGAGTATGAGACCTGTAAAGTGTAACGACTCTGAAGTCTGCCAAGCGAATGTGAGATTGGAATGATTGAGTTGGAGTAATTCGGATCGGAGGAGGAAAGGGAGGAAAGGGAAGGGAAAGGGGGGCGACGCGCTGGGAATTCTATATTTTCCCACGGTTGTTCGAAGCGGCATTCGCTCCCTCTCCGTCCCTCCTCTTCCTCCTCCTCCTCCTCTTCCTCTTCCTCCTCTCCTACTTCCCTTCTCTCACCTTGCCCCTGCCCTGCTTCCATTCCTTTCGTTGTCTTTGTTGCTCCCCCTTCTGATCCAGCCACAGCATCAAAGTTTTGTTGATCAGCCATCATATCATGACATACCCCCTTGCCCCTCCCGTCTTTCGCTCCCTTGTTGCCCGTGGCACACGGCGAAAGACATAAAGCATCTCGGACCCTTTCCTTTCTCACCAATCTCACATCGATCACTACTGATACGCCCAACTGATCGGGAAATGCTGATTTTATCCATCCTGTCCTGTGCGCGCCTCAATGACAACTTCAAAGTGCTGAAAGGACTTGCAACTTATCTCAACGTCCTGTCACACACCATACCTCAGCTTCCATTGATATAAAGGGCACACCAAAGCCCTGTTTTGTCTTGCTGTCTAAAATCCCGCTCACGTAGCTTTTCAGAATTCTCCCCCGGATATTGCGGCATTCTTCTGCTTCCATCTGTCACTCGTCATGAAAGTAGCTATCGTCGGATCTGGTGTAGCGGGTCTTTCGGCATTGTGGGTGAGTACATCCCTGGGCGTTTGATCATGACTGACAAGAAGATGCTGAATGAGTATTCCGAGCACGAGGTGCACATCTTCGACAAGGAGGACTGGGCCGGGGGACATGCCCACACTGTTGATTATCAGAGTGAGCGCTTTGCCTCGTGTGACACAGTGCAGGGTAGAGCTCATCATCCTCAGGACCGGGCAAGGAACCATGTCGGATCGACACGTGAGTCACCTGTTCTACGCATTGTCGTCCCGCTAACGTCCAAGTGCCTTTGTAGGTCAACAGGATTGTTCGTGGTAAGAAGGGGGCTGACTAATTATCAGATGAGTATGAACCCAGTGTCGTATCCCAACTTATATCGCTTCCTGCGGGCAAAGGGTATAGAAACTGTCAACGTTCCCAACTCCTTGACAGTTTCACACAACATGGGGGAGTTTGAGTGGGCATCTGGGGGGCTCCTTGCCTTGTTTTGCCAACCAAAGAATATGTCAGTGTCCCTTTTTTAGCACATCAAGCTTTGAGAGCTCATGGACAGATTCAAGAAGCGTATATACCGAATGTTGCTTGACGTCTGGCGGTTCAACCACCTTGCTCTCGACCTCTTGAGAGACCCATCGACCGCCATCGGGATCACCGTCGGGCAGTATCTGAAGGATAACGGGTACTCAGAAGAATTCAAAAGGGACTATCTCTTGGTCAGTGAGATGATCCTCAACATACCGCCCTCTTCTTCCTCCCGTGTTCACGCCAGCTTCCCATTCCCTTTCCCACGAGGTGTCGTGCAGAACGTCACTTTCCCACTCATTAGATCCTTTGCTCAGATCGCATGGGCGCACACCTCCTTCGCACCAACTCCTTCTGGTGTGGCGTCCTAGAAGGTCATAGTGAAACCTCGGCCCCTTGATGTAAACCTGTCGGAATCATGCTTACGTCAAGCCCATGACAGGCTCTATCTGGGCCACGCCCACCGATAAAGTTTTCGAAGCATTTCCCATTCTAACACTTGTCAAATACATGCACAACCATCTCATCCTCCACATGAGGGAAGAGCCCGAATGGCTTACAATAAAAGGGGGTTCGGCCAACTGGGTCAAGGTGGTCATCGACAGTGTGCCTCAGAACCGAGTTCATCTCAAGACGGCGGTCAGTGCCGTACAACCCCTTAAGAATGGGGACGGTGTCGTTATCACTACTGCCGAGGGGAAAGAGAAATTCGATCATGTCATATTGGCGTATGTCGTTTTACCGTTGACGGACAGTCAGGCGTGACTAATAATCAGGACTCATTCTCAAGTATCTCTAGAACTCCTTCGTCGAGGAGGTGGAGCCAGTGAGGATGAAGAGCGTCTACTGAGCCCGTGCGAGTGGACTGATAACGTGAACGTTGTGCATTGGGATGATCGGGTATGTTGTCCTTTTGGGCAAGCTTTTGCATCGCTAACTGCGTAGTTTTGGGCCAAGGCAAAGCGAGCACAGCCGTCTGGTCAGTTATTCATATTTGTAAACTTCGGCAAGCGCTGAGTCCGTAGCTTGGCACTACCTCAGCGTCCATAATAACCAAGATTACTCCAAGACTAACCGGGAAAAGCCCCCACATCTCGATACGAATGGAGTCTGCACGTGAGTAGGAGTACCCTTTCAATAGCATGATACCTTTCCCTGCATCCCTGACCCGTCCAATTATTTCTCTGCCATAACGTGTTGGTGACTTGAACTGACTGTTAGAACTATCAATTTAAACGCCCTGCATAATCTCCCCGTGTCCAAACATGGTCTTTGTCTCACGACTCTCAATCCTCATTTCCCCGTTGATCCTAAGAAGATACTGTCCGTTTGGAAACTTGACCATCCCGTCATGTCCCAATCTTTGATGGAAGCCCAGAAACATCTCCACTTGATCCAAAATAAGCGCGGGATCAGCTTTGCTGGCGCTTGGACAGGTTACGGGTTTCACGAAGACGGATTTCGGAGTGGGATGCAAGTAGGAGAAGCTTTGGGGGTAAAAGGTCCTTGGGAAGTGATGTCTCCCAATAGGGATATCCCTGATCCTAATTCGAGAGAGAGAATGGCTCGCAAGATAGCTACATGGATAGGAAAGAGGAGGCTTAGAAAGATGGCTTCATCGAGGGTATCCGGCATTTCGAGCTCTCAATCGTCGATTGGTTCCTCTGTTCCCGAGAAAATTTGATTGAAGATGATGATGATGTTGCTCGACATGATGTTACTTGTGTAAATAATTAAGATTACGATTAGAATGGACATTAGACAGAACGTGACTTCGGTAGAGTGTTACAGTATGAGTACCCTATACTAGGACTATGCATTATGATGGTAAACTATGAGTACTAGTGACATCATTTCTTTGTCTCTCCCACAGTTGAAGTACTTGTAGGCACAGTGATTGTCTCCCATGCCTTGCTTCCAACTCCTCCAATTTGACTATTACCCTCATTTTGTGCACTACCCATGGAGGTATAGCCACGGGGATCAATTGAAGCATACTCATTCACACCTGTCACTGCTGACACCGTCTCAGTCTCAGTGACAGTAGCTGTCACAGTTGCAGTTTCCGTAACGGTCTGAGAGCCCTGAGAACTTCGACATTCCGAAAGTGCACGATCAGCATTACGACCTTGGTTGAGGACGGTAGCAGCTAAACATACGGTTACAGTTGCCATACTGAGAGCGAAGATTGGGCTTGTCTAGACTCAGTATTGATTCTTATTTGAAGGTAAGGTATTTGACTCACTCCTTCTTCACGATCAGGCATTGTAATGGTTTATGTATCTTTCTTGATGTTGGTTGTTATTAGTTGAGATTCAGAGATGTAAGGTATGTTGCAACTGAGAGGTCTACGAGTTTAGAAGGGATTGGATGATCAAGGGGTTTATGTAGTTATGAGGAATGAGTTAAACGGGGCGGAGATTAGATATACGACATCTTCGTTAAAAACTCGTTTGATACCTTTGATCTCGGTTCTGAGAGAAGAGCATGTTTCATTATTTAGCGAGAAAACGGATAGGAAGAGATATGAAACCCCAAGACAAAATAGACAGACTGTAAGAAAATGAATGGAAGTTTTGACGTATGTATGAATGAGATGAAAGGCGTATTATCAAATAATAAAATAATAGGAAAGAGTAGATACGTATGTGACCACGACCATGAAAAGAAATTGATTGAAATGAAATGTCACGGGTGAGTGCGCTCACTAGATCTTCGGATAAGTGGTCTCTCAATCTTGCTTCAAATTTGAACAAAGTCTTTTCACAAGTAAGGTATTGTATTACACATTCTCTATACCTGTCAAGAGGATATCTGACATTTCATTTGTCCAATCCAGAAAGTATGAGTCCTCGAGGTATCAGCAAGAAATGACAAGAAGAAAAGAATGTGGCACCCCCTTCAGTCAATTTCTCAATCTCAAAACGCCACAAACACTATTATTCATCCATACATTCCATCCTGTGATAGCAAAGAAGTAGTATCGATACACTATCATTCTCTCACTTTCTAACATGAACTCAAGCATCACGGAAGGGATTATATGCCATAAAGAAAGTAAAGAAATTCGTGGAATGTATTACCAACGACTAGTGACGTTTACGTCACATGACATTTCTTCGTCATTCCTAACACCACTTGATCCTATAACGATCGAGAAATGAGAAAATGGTGGAATGTAGATTGTTCGATCGGGTTTTCTTCATGACATATATGTTATACTCTTCTTCTCTCCTTCTCTTTTATCCTCTTCCTTCTCATATTTCCTCTCCTTCATTGTGTTTTGTATCCTAATCACTCCTCTGACTGTCTCCTTTACCTCGATTCTTCTTCTCATCTCGACTCCCTACGTTCCTCTTCCTCCTTATATTATTTCACAGGGTTCGTGGAGTAGCCACGGTAGCCCGACCTACTCTACTGCTTCAACATGCCCGGAATGAATATCCCCAACGTCTTTGGACAGGTCCCGAGTGGTGTGTTTGGTCCCGACAAGAATGTGAGTATATTTTCTTGACCTGCACTTCTTCACTGCTTCCTCATTCCTCACTCCTGACTCCTGTGACATATATGTGTACTATGTACACTGTACTATTACAAGGGTCAGTACCCAGAGAAATAGACGTGGCTATCTATGGTCGAGTGGAATGAATGTAGAGTTGACTGTATAGGTAGACAGAAATGTTCCCTCTTCATATTCCCAATCCAGTCCGGAAGATACCAATACCCCTTCCATGACCTGGGATTCTCCCTTGACATCGTCGACAAATGAATATCTCCAAACTCCCTTTACCCCTTCTCCTAATGAAACCCAAGTGCCACTTCCTCCTCAACCGTCTAAAGTACCTCCACATTCCCCAAGCTTGAAAGAAAACAACACACTTCTCATGAGAGGTTTAGGTATTGGTAGACCATCAACTCCCCATATTTCTGAAACTTCCATGGAATCAACAGGACAAAATCAACGTTTTTCCACTTCCAAACGTCATAGTCGGAAGTATAGTTATGCTTCTACTCCTTGGAATGGTGTTTTATCTTTCGGTAATCAAACTCCTCGAAATGGACAAGAAGGTAGTTCGTTATCTTCCAAACGATCAGATTCCTCTCCAGGAAAAGAAGAACGTCGATCGTCAGATTCACAATTAACGGACAGAGGTATGATGGAACAAAAACGTCGATCGATGGTTTGGACCACACCAAGAGGAAGTTCTTTACCTTCTTCTCGACCATTGGATGAAACTTCAGAACTTGATAGTTTTCCGGAGATAGAAGGACAATATGATTCTGAAAGAAATCATCATAGATCTAGACCGGATTATCGCCATCTTCTTAAATCGAATACTCTCTTTCCCAGAAGATCCGACGAAACTATAGCATCTCATCAAACACCTGCTTCTCCTATGAGTCCTGTAGGTCGCAATACTTTTCTGTCGGCGAGAAGCTTCGACAAATGGGATCTCAAAGTTTCAAAGTTAGCCACGGGTGGAGTTCCTAGGATGAACACTGATAAGGATGAAGAAGGAGATACATTATCTCATGTAATTAGTACCCTCAGTCTTAGCTCATATGACGGTGATAGGGGTGGGGAAGGATCTGGAGGGACTGAGAATTCTCAAGATACGGCAACCCTCTCTGGAGAGAATTTCTGGGTATCAGAGGAAATGTATGTCATTGGCAAGGGCAGGGATCTTGAGGAAGAGCCAGGATCACCGGAGGCCCTAGAGATGAGAGCCAAACGTCGTAGAATCAGACGAAATACCGAACAGAGCTCTCGAGTCACTTCCACTTCCTCATCCTCGCTTAAAAGAGCTCGTCGTGCTTCTCAGGTGGTTCTACAGAGTACCAATAATCTTCCGGATGTGGAGATGGTGGAGTTTTCTGGAATGGGAGTCGCAAGTCAGGGTGAAGGTAGCGCAAGAGACATTCGTCCAGTTTTCCATGAATCGGAAACGATGGATATGGATATGGATATAGATATGGATTGATATTGGGAGATACAGATGATGGTTTCACTCACCTATTACAATGGACACTTGAAGTGTCAATTGGCACCCGTCGACCTCAGCCGGACTGGGTCGGAAGGGTGTGAGCTGGGAAGAGGAAGTTTCTTGTGTTTCGATACCCTGTATGACTCTGAAATGTTGTATTTGCATGTATCATGTAGACTGCTTTGTTTGTCCCTGACAGTCATTATCAGTAAGCCATGAGATTATCGTTGGATCAAGATCAACCAGCGCAAATGCGAAGTGGGGATCTCCGTTCTTGAACAGATGTTTGAACATGTAACCAGTATCGGTAGATCTGTTATGAGTAGATAAGCTCTTGACCGCAACACGCCATTTACTCCAATAATATTCTGCATGTTCTCTATCGATACAGCATCGCATGATGACCACTCACGACCAAGGTCAATGTATACTTCTCCCGTATCATACAGTATATATCTTCAATCTCCCTAGTTCATCCGCACCCGTTTCTCACCCCTCCTCTGATTTTGTCCTTCGTCAGGTGTAGTATGTCTCCCATCAAATATGCTCTGCATGGTCGATTGAGCAGTCTTCCAGCGCTTTCCAAGATCTTCGTTCTCTCTCTTTGTATTTTCGTATGCTTGAAGAAGTTTTGTATGTGCATATCGGAGATCGGCAAGATAACTAAGAGTCCAATCCAAAGTGAATCGACCGGTACTGAGCCCATCGACTAACTCTTTATAAATGGTCTCGGGTGGAGGGTACGGCTTGACTACTGGTGGATTACCTGGTTGAGGCTGGTTTGGAAGTGCCGAGTTTGGTGTTGGATTGGTACTGCTTACTCCTGTGTGGTTTGGTACAGACCCTCGATCTGAACAGAAAGGACGATTCTGGGGATGATTGATATGCTCGTTCGGGATGTGGACTTGCTGATTGAGAGAGGGATATTGACTGAGAAAGGGTTGATTGTGAGTGAGATGCTGATTAAGAGCTGGTTGTCGATTGAGAGATGAATGACCGGGTAATGAATGGGTACGAGGGAGATGAAATTCTGCTTGCGAAGGCAATGGAGCAGGATAAAGTTGTTGAAAGGTATGTAAAGACATAGGTTGCTTCGCGTGGGGTAAACAATTGTCTGATTTACTGAGGGCGGAGTGTGATGGTACTTGGACTTGAGGATTGGTATGATGAACCTGATCATTCTGTCCAAGTCGATTGTCTCCCCCTACCTGGTGGACATTTTCCAAGGGGGTCATGTTTGAATCAGGGATGTTCGGGAGGGGTGTCGAGACAGTGTTGATGGTAAGGGGAGGAGTTGGTAAGTGGGAATGTTCTTTCCCCAGATGACCTTCTGAAATTCTTCGTCCACTCGTAGCACATGAGGTTGGTTTCCGACTAAGGACAGCTTGGACTATCTCGGTATATTGGGCCGGGGTGATCTGAAGTGTGATCATTCCATTCGCGACCTGGGAGGCGGATAAACCAGCGAGGGCTTGAGATTGATGAAAAGGTGATTCATCAGTAGACAATTGTGTGGGTTTCAAGGGTTGTGGTTTTGGGGCCTTGCCGGTCATGGGAAAAGAAGCAGGTGTAGTGGTGACGACATTCCTTTCGGTTAAACGTTGGACGGTTCGTGGAGAGAAAGACGATGGTTTGTGACGAGCGGCCAGCTGTTCGATCTCATATGAGACGGTAAAAGAGGGGATAGTGATCTTCTTGAAGGCTGTCTCTGCGGTATCGGTAGATTTGCACCCTGGGGGAGGAGAAGCCGGGGCAACCTTTCCTTCTACGGACTTGGAAGGTTCCGAAGTAGCTGCTAGTGGTTCTGGGGCGGAGGATGTCTCAGATGAGGACGATGAGTGGTGGATAGGAGATAGGACTCCAGTAAGTTCTACAATTCAGCTCATAGAGACCTTCAAGCCAACGAGGAGGAAAGGCTGGGATAGGTAGAGACTGACTATGGATCCACTCACTATCGAAGTACTCCTCTTTCTTTGATGATGGGGGTGACATTATTATCTCATCCGGAGAAGCCACAGTGACTTGTAAAGAAGACATTCTCTTCTATGTGGATAGTGGTGATACGAAAAAGTTGAAAAGAAGGAATGTGAATGAAAGAAGAAACGAAAAAGTTGAGAAGTTTTGAGAAGCCTGGGTGAATGTTTGTGGCTGATCGTTCCTGGTCTCACCACGAGGGTCCTTTGATTCCGAATCTTCGTCCACATGTATCATTTGATGGTAGGTATGCTGCAAAGTTGATCAGTGTGGTTCCACCATGTGTGTTCTGACCCCAGAACTTACAACTTTACTATGTATGGACATACACCAACTCCGTGCGCCGGCAGCCAGGAAGGAAAGTGGCGCTGCCACTTGGTGTCGTGAACGTGGCGGCTTGGGTGCCACAGTCCTTCATCGGGATGTGAGTCAGGTACTCGTATGGAACGGTCAGACAACATTATGCATCAAGATACATGAAACCAGAAGTAGAGATCAAAGATGCTACATATAAATATATCCATCACATCAGAAACCTGATAGCTACTGCAGGAGCAACTAAGCCTACCAAACTCCCAACACCCAATCGACTTCCATCGTTCACTACCACAGTTGTGACGGCTCCCGCGGGTGGTACAGTCTGTCGCACGGTCTGCGTGATGATTTGCCCAGCAGTCGGAGTGATGGTCTCTACAGATGGAGCTGGCGTGATCGTAGTGACATATGGGGTTGGACCCAGAATATCTGATGTCGAAGTTGAATACTCAATCTCCGTGGTCTCAGCTGACACACAAGTTATTGGGGTGGCCGAGTAAACCAGACTGACAACTTTAGTGCTTGTCACATCACACTTATGTGTCTCTATTTCCTCACCCTCTACTGTGAGTAGCGGACCCAACTCAAGGGGCTGTCCTGGGATGTATCCCCCAGATACTATAGTGATATATCCCGGATATGTGCTGGTTGTGTAAGTCGTAGCTGTTGGTCCATAGGGACAATTATCATCATAATCGTGTTTCTTCTGTAGAAATGGGGTGATGAGAGCTTTCATAGTATCTGAAGACACATGAGAAGCATACTCTTCTGTAAACGATACGTTGAAAATTGTGGGAGTAGGTTCGATGAAATCATCTTGAAGGGAGAGAGAAGTGTTGAATTCGGCAGGATGGGCACTACCAACACCGGAAGCTGCTAAGAAACCCGTTAAGACTGATGCTAGTGAAACTTTCCGTCAGATAACTCCATGGGGGGTAATAGAAGACTCACCTGTGGTCGGACGCATTTTAAACGGTGATAAATTACAGGTAGATGAGTGGAAAAGAGGGAGGAGAGAAAGATGAGGAAGTCTGAAAATCAAGAGAAGGCCATTTTTGAACGTAAGAAGTATCAACTCCGACTCGGACGTTCCTTTCATGACTAGCAAAGACAACATACGACGTCATCGACTTGGCGTATCACATGATGTCCTCCGTCAACCGTTTCATTCCTCACACGCGTGAGGGGTCCGAGAGGCTAGACAGGATGAGACAGAATTGTATCCTTCAGATCCCATGTCCGAGGGGATGTCGGAGCCCACGACTTGCATGTTACATAGATGATAGAGAGTAGTTTTACTTGAACACGAGGGGCAGTGAACGGAGCTACTTCAATCACCCTATGCTTTTGGTTTACCCCTTGAATACAGATTTGAAACGTCCGATCTATACGGGTTAAGCAATTAGAAGATCATCCTTTTTCCCTTCTCATCTTGTTTCGAGATCACCTTTCATCTCCTAGGAAGTTGAGGACGATCTCACGAGAATCCCCGACACCGTCAGGAGTTATATAGTCTACCTCTTAACCCTTATCCCCATCATCCAGACTAAGAATCAAACATGTCCTTCAATTCTAGAACTCCAGGTTACCCCCAAAGCGCCTTACGAGGATCTCCAGACCAACAAGGTCCTGAGGACAATGAGTCCATGATAGTCCACACTGGTAGCCGTAGAAATCGGTCTACCCAAGGGGACGCCACATACGGGCGAAACGATCCCACACTAGGTATCTTGATGACTGGACATAGTCAAGTCTCAAATCGTCACCAACAACGTAGCACAAGATCTGTGCAACCAGCAACCAGTGACTTATGGTAGGTTGTTGCTCTGTTATTGAAGTAAAGATACTGAAATGTCAGCATTGCTGGTGCGGCTAGCCTGATTCTTGGGACAGTCCAGTGTATTGACAGCTGTGTTGCTGATTGCAATGATGAGCACTGGACCCCTGACACAGATACAAGTCAAACAAGACGCCGGAGAGGAAGGCAAACACAGCAAACAAGAACATTCCCTGGTAATGTGGGGTATGTGCAGACTGAGGCGGAGCCTTTCATGGGGTCCTCAGATGGATATGCCACACAAGCGGTGATGACCTATGAAATGCATGACCTGGAGGAAGGTGAGACTGAAGATGGACAGACAACGGGAGATCAGTCGACAACTGTTGTCACTTATACAATGAATGACCAAGGAAGAACTAGGCAGTGAAAGAGAAGATTATCATAGATGATGCAGGAATAACTTTAGGACATGACGTGTGTACATACATAGCACCAGTCAAATGATCAATGCAGAGGACCATGAAACCACAAAAGCTGATCTATCCCATGATTCAAGCGTGACATACACATATAGTAATACATATACACACTATCTAGTGGTGTGCGTAATCACCATGGCATTCTGATCAGTCACCATTACAAACAACTTACAAGACACTCCCTTCAAAGTCCTGCACCTACTCTCCTGAATGGCTCATCCAATGTCCCACCAAAATACAATACAGCTCTTTTCAATAGCACATTCTTTCTGATTCTTCACATGACGTACCAACCAGCTCTCCGAGAAAGGTTGGCTGTCCATAAGTATGATTGTGCAATCTCCTTCATTATCACATGTCAACCTGTAAAGTTGGTTCATGAGGGGAGATATTGTTGTCTTGGAACTTCTTCCACAATGTAGGAAGACAACGTGACGGTTTTGACTCCTGTAATGTCTTCCACAGTGGTGCATAACATATGAGGGATTGACGATGAGGAGGAATCTTCCCTCTTTGCTACTTCAAGATCCCTACTTGGACAGGTAGGGAGAATAGGGGGGCTCTCCGGAACTTTTATCACACCTTGCTCAGTTTCCGACTTGCTAAGTATCAAGCATGTTTCCATATGACCACAATCTACCTCCGTTGGCGAGGGGGTACCGAATGAACCACCGGTATCACCTGAGACTTGGGAAAACTCTACCTTCACTATGGCAGGATCTGAGCTGGCTATGAGCCAGGAATTAGGGCATTGAGAATCCAGATTGGAGAGAGACGAAGTATGGGTGATTACTGAGGAGTCGACATGATATCCTCCGGCATGGCAAGCTCCGTAGTCAGCTAAATCCGATGCGGCTAGGGGACAGGTATCTAAATAAGCTAGTTCGGTCATTCAATATGCTGAAGTAGATCTCCGGGACGGAGAGATAGAAAATGTATCAAATGGGTGGGATCGAAAGTATGAGTTGGGGGAATGAATGTGACTTAAGTATCTCCTAGAGGGTGAATCCGTGCGCCATACTCTTCTCTGTCTAGAAAGGAAAGATGGGATGAAGGCCACGAAACCAGTACTGTTTCCAAAGAAGGCGGGATATAGCACCCCCCCCCCCGCCCCGGTACCGCCTGAAAGCGATGACGGTCCAATAGCCACGGAAAAGAAACGTGTCCGTCTCGGCCGCGGGATCCGTGCGAAGTGGGCTTCACCCGGAGGCGAGACAAATTCTTCCCTGTGACCTGTGTCAACTTCCTGGTCCTTCTTAAGACTGCATACATAGCTACTGTTCAAGCGGTCACATTTCAGAGGAGCTTTACAGTCCTTCTTAACGCTCCACGCTTCCATAATCTCCTGTCCAATTTCCCCCTCGATCAGCTTTTCCGTCCGGTCTCATGTTCCTTTCCCTCCAACAAGTCGTAAGAAGCGGCCAGGGACAGTACGTGTGGAGGAAGAGGCTTCGGGGGAAGAGGTATTGGGTGAATCATCTGCTATCATCTCTTCGGGGATGACCTCCGTCGATTGTGGAGCATCTTCTTCTCCCCCGTACAGACCCAACGACGGAGGTGGGTTACGCTCCGGGTTCGCCATGTCGAACTCGATCCTTGTGAGGTTGATGAGTTGTAATAGTTCCATAGGACCGTACCAAGACCAAAAGGTATTGTTGGTATTTTCAAGCTGTAAGGGAAGGGGGTTCCAATCAAGACCGAGTCCATGAGGTATAGTCTCCAAACTCTGGGCTTCAGGACAAGTCAAGAAACACTGGACAGCTCCTTCCTTGTCTTCCACCAGGCTTGGGGTGAGGTCGGGGAGATACTTGGTGAACTCATCCGTGATCGTTTGGAAGGGCAGACTAGAAGTAGGGTGATCATTCGAGATGGAGACAGTTGGGTTAGGGATAGGAGTGGGGAGAAATCTCGAAACAGCCTCATAGACATCGGTCACAGGTTCATTAATAGGTGATCCGAAGGAAGCTGTCAGGTAAACCATTAATACGAATGTGAAGTGTTTATAATCCGATTGGAGCTTAGGAGGGTGACCACTATTCAAATAGCATTCTTCAGGCTGTACAGAGACGGATACGATCAAGTTTGACACTCCGCCGATGAAGGGTGCGTGAGAAAAGCAAGAAAAGTGGTGGTGGTGGTGGGGGGGGGGGGGGGAGATTCACTACGGCCTCTTGAAGTACTCACTTTTCGAATGGAGGGAGAGAATGAACGCCGTTAGCCTATCTCGGTCATGATGACAAATTGTACATATCCGTAAGACTACCTCATTAGACGCGAGCTTGGTCAGTGGGATATGAGCTTAGCCCGGGGATGAGACATGGAGACAGAGTGGATAAGTTCCTCGGTCTGAAATGAGAAGAGAAGAGTTATTTGGCTAAAGGTCTACGGTCAAGGAAGAGAAGTCAGACGGTGTCTTCCTGAAAGGGATAACTAAAGGACATGGGATCGATCGGGAGATCGGGGTATTTTGACTAATCCCATCGGGGTTAGACTGGTGGGTGATATCCGGAGCCCAGAAACGTTCCTTGGAAGTCGATACGGCTGAGGAAAGATGACCTTCGGTACGTCAACGGGTCAAAAGATGGCTGATCAGAGGTGGATATAGAACACATCAACTCGCATGTACGTAGTATCGAGTACTAGCAATATTCCCTGAAACTAGCTAGCATAGACGATATCAGAGAAGAATGAAGAGCGTTTGAGGTAAGTGGTCGTTCTTCGACAATGAGGACGAAAGGGGGATTTTAGCACGGGATGCTCGAACAATACCACCAGTGTCATTGGTTAGCAGAGGGGCATTGAGAGAAAGACGTCCTAATATCGACATGCCATGTGCGAAGTAAACTGGTGAGACATGCTACTGTAGGACGGACTCCTCACTCTCGGCGGAGATGTAACAAGTCAAGCTCCAGGCAGGAAAAAGGTCAATTCCGCAGACGAAGACGTACATATGAGATCTTCTCCTGAATCGTTGATTCACAACGGAAAATTCAGTAATCAGGATATGATCTCAACTTTGGAAGTAGTAGGCAGAGTTTGAATACGTATATGCAGGATATCAGAGAGGTATAGTCAGTACATCAAGTGAATTTTGACAAGCTATGTACAAGAGGTCTTAGTTGGTACAGTACATGGAACACAAGCTGTTGACACCCTAGCATCAGATCTGAGTGATTGATCACCTTTGAGCCTGGTTGTTCTGGATGACATGAGTGTGACCATATGCCTGGGTAGACAACGAGGAGGCAGTCTTGGTTACTGGTGCTGGTGCGTGAGTAAGAGGGCTTCCGGAAATGCCCCTATCTGTCCGAGGCAATTCCGTGATGCGGAGAGTAGCCCATGCTGGGTGTCCGTCATTTTGGTCAGAACTAGCCTTGGTTGAAGTATGGGTCAGGGGATTGTCATACGCCTGCCAACCATCAATGCCACTGGACACTTGTACTGGAACCGCCCCGGCAGCCAAATTTGGATGGGTATGCTGGGGTGTTAAGTTTTTTGACATCCCTGTTGAAGTTGTGGCTATCCCAGAACCAGGAGCTGATTGTCCATAGAGAGGTTGGCTGGATGGATTTGGGACAAAAGGAAAGCTGGAGCGGTATGGCCGAGTTGGAGATGGAGGTTGCGAGAGGTCATTACTTCCTGTAGCGTTTATTGCAGGTGCTGCGCCGACTACGCCACTACTGGCTAGAAACGTCAGTCCTACTGTTCCGAGAGTGTTGGAACGTGATTTCCTGGAAGACATGTGAAATCAGTAAGTATGTATTGTGGATGAAAGTCACACAAGCAAGTGTTATGCTTGATTTCCTGATCAGTACGCCTTTTATCCCTTACACCACAACCTCATACCCTTAGGGTGAGAAGAGAAACCGTGAGAAATCACCGGGCAACTTGTCATCCCCCTCCCGATCGGGTAGTTTGGAACGGAAGTTTCTCACGAGGACGATAATGGATCGATATTTCATCCGAGGGGCGGGGCGATGCAGCGGTAAAAGATCAATGGAGCAGATTGGAGTGTTGAAGAAGGGAAGGGAAGAAAACGTCGGATGATCTTTCGATTTTTCCATTCATATTGCTTGAACTCTTCAGGAAGGTTTAGGAAGATGATAATGGATCGAAGAATCGTCCGATGAGTGGGTGGTGATAGCATGAGAAGGTGTGAAAACCGTATGCCCGAGTTGGACAAGGTAAGGTGTGAGAATATCCGATACGTTTCTCATGGTCGTAATTTATAATGTCCGTTCAAATGCCGTAAGATGGGAAAGATGACGATCAATGGAAAGTAGGGATTGAATGGAGTGAGATAGGGTGTGAAAGTGGAGAGCCGTGAGGCGATGCTTGAGAAAATGTGTGAAACATTAAGATGGTGTGTCGATTGATGGTGCCCCGATGACCGGCGGGAAAGGGGATGAGGGATGAGGCGATGAGGGATGAGGCGATGAGTGAGGAGTGAGGAGACGCGTCGAGTGAAAAGGTGGGCGGTTGAGAACGTGGGAAGATGAGAAAGTGAGACTCGAAGGCCAATCATTACGAGTTGTGTGAAAGTTTTCGGTAGATGTTTCGGTGGTCGAGAACGGGTTGAATGGTGAAGTTAACAGTGGTGAGAGTCGGGTACGAGTTGTCGGGAAGGAAGAGAGGAAGATGTTTCCGAGTATCAATACATGTATGATGATAACAATGGTCTGTTCATCAGCGTTGGCAAATCATGAGTCGGACAAGGTAATGAGGCGGAATGATGACCAAATCAGAAAAAAGATAATTACGAAAGTCTGTTCTCGAAGCCTTTGTCGGATCGTATGTAATTGAGCTGCATGGCTACCGAATTGGAAGGATGAGGAGACAAATCAGTATGTCAGGACTCTCATCATTCCTCATGCATCAGTCATCACTATCGTGGGCTCCGACAAATAGTAGCCGTCCAGGGGGAGTCGCACAGCGCTATCAATCAAGATTCACGGTAGGGGAAGGGCCTGACTTGGTCTCGGTCGCGGTCGCGGTCGCGGTGCTCGGAGGGGCGACGCTGGGAGGGTCGACGCTCGAAGGGGCGACATTCGAAGGAGTGGGGTCGGCGGTCGTAAGTTGTGTTGGCTGGGGCAATAGCATCTGACCAAGGATTCCCCCTCAATCACTTTTACTCGTGGTCGTCAACGCAGAAGCTGGGACCTGTCCGGACCTGTCTGTCAATGGAGCTCGAAGCTGAGTTTGGGAGTGCGGATGCTAGGGCGGCAGCAACGCTGTTGTTTGAAATCAATTGAGAGCTACTGTTTGAATTCAATTGAAAGCCGTCACTAGCGCTAGTCAGCAATGCCGCCATCGACGCAGCTTTCGTCACAGGGGATCTCATGTCGAAGACTATTTATCAACGGGCAAACCAATGGTGATTGCCGCGGATGTCAGAGACGAATGAGTGCTTGTGTACTGCTATTTATACTCGATGGTAGCTTCACACAGAGGAGACGAGAGGCGCAAGAGGAGAGACATGGGCTACTCGGCCAAGGCGATGCACTAACTTGATCCAAGCTTCTCCCCAAGAATGGAGTGTGCTCTGCGTGGGATCGTTTGCTTAGCGAAGAAGGGAAACCTGATCAGTACGATCAGCGTAAGACCACTATGCATAGCCACTGATGTGTGAACGTCCTCACGATATCTTCCGATGATTTTTTATTTAGTGGATTTATCGTAAAGGACTCCAAGGACACGGCACCATGATTGTAGACCGCATAGATTGGGTCAGTTTGACAGTCTGAAGTGTCAGCAACGAATCAACGGAGTGACGAGATGAAGCTGGCCTCTTGGACAGTCTCAGACCACGTCCCTACGGACCACGCTTGCTCTCTGGTAGACTTGCGTGTCTCCATGTCCCTACGAGTGTCAGTGGCTGTGTGGTTATGAAAGGTAGATGGACCGACGGGTATTGCCAGATATGGTGGACTTCATGTAGCTGGCCAACTTGAGAGAAGAAAGCTCCGACAGGTTGCTGCATCTCAGTTTTGCTACATCCTTCCAAAAATCATGAGCTTTATGACTGACCACAAATCGCCGTCTGGCTTCGAGACCCCTCCGCCCCGCGCTTTCCCCATTCCCAGTAGCTTTCCCCGGTTGGAGACGGTACGACCTCATCTCGAACACACCTCCGCCGGGATAACCCGAGTCTCTTGGGGGTGAGGATGGCCAGAATGAGAATTCGAACACGACCTGATGCTCTCCTTGAAGTGATATGAGGAAGGAGAGCCGCAAGGAGTTTCCGCATCTCCTGTTTTGTTCAGCTTAATTACATCGGTGAATGGGTTGACTGACCGGATCCGAGCGCAAGGCCCGACTGGTTTCGTCCAATCCTCTATAGACTTCGTATTCAAGTATATGGTGGAAATCTCCCACACTGCCAATCGTCGTCTCCCAACTCCCCGTGAGTTTGACCCCACCCAACTCAGCGTAACGTTCCTTCAACGCCGAGAAGTATGCCTCGGCGGCGGCGGCATATTCCGGCCCTCTAGAGGGAAGGACGGTGTGTGTAATCTTCTCGTGGACATACTTACCCCTGCCAACAATCTTGGAATGTTGACCAGAGGGAGTGTCCACGAGACCTAGATAAGCGACCGCCC